GTTTTAGGTTCTAGATATTTGATTAAGTGTGTCATATCTTAATTAAATTCTAGATTCAAACCCCAAGTTAGGATAAGAGTGTGTAATATCTCTTAAACACCAACTTGGTTTATCCATCCCTGATTTTCTTCCATTTCATATCCCCCCATTTGTCCTCTTAATCTTACTCTTTTCTTCCATTAAAAATACCCAAAAGAACTCCTTCATCATCCCCATATCTTTCCATCCTTTCCCCACACAAACACCATCATTTCGTTCCCAGAAATCTGCCAAAATAATCGATTATCTTACTTAGACAATCGATTATTGACCCATCCTGCAAAAGAAGGAGCTCGTTCCTTAAATCCGAGCTTAATACCGACAAACCCTGGGCTGAGATATAACATTTGGTATCAAAGCTTTGTGTTGAACATCCTTAAGGGATAATCTGCACACGCCTCCCTCATCTCTTTTGTTACTATCAACCACGCACTCTTCAAGCCATATTATCCACCATGCCAAGCTCTCCTCAAAACATGTTTCAAGGTGAATTAGCTGCTGCCCAGGAGAAACTAAAGAAGGAAGTTGAGCTTATGATGAAACAAATCCAGGAGCTCACTAATTCAGTGGAGATTCCCACGTTTGAAGGAAGAAACGACCCGGAGAAGTTCTCAAAGTGGTTAGCAAAAGTTGAAGACGTCTTTATACTCAAAGACGTACCCGAAGACAAGAGGGTCAAGCTAGTGGTGGCAAAGTTTCAAAGACATGCCTCTACTTGGTGGGCTAGCATTGCTTCAAAACGAAAGCTCCAAGGAAAAGCAAAGGTGAGAACTTGGGAAAAGTTAAGAAAACTCTTAATTAAGAGATTTTCTTCCAAAGATCATCTCCACAACATACTCTCCATTTTTCACCCAATACTCTTTCTAAAGTCATACCACCTTCCCCACAACAAAAGCCGCTCCATATTGCCCTCTAGACTTCTCACGCTACCCAAGTCATTTCCGAAGCCACCACCATCTTCAACACCCAAACTCCCTCTAAAGTCCCCTCTTTACCTTCCTTAGCCACTGCCCATATTTGCCCCAGCACCCTCCCCACACCTCTGCCCCAAAACTCCTCAAAACCTAGCTATGTCCCATCCCTAGCTACTGCCCAAAATGATCCAAATACCCATTTAGCACCCCTGCCCCAAAAGTCCTCACAAACCAACTCCTTTTCTTCCTTGAATACTGCCCAAATTAACCCCAGAACTCTACCTCAAAACTTTCCTAAACCCTTGTCCATAACCCCTCCACAAACTCCCCAAAACACCCCCAGAACCACCTCCACGTCCACCGCTCAAAACCCCCACAAAACCATAACCTCTCCACCAAGTGCCCTGGTCATAACCCCAACAAGAACCTGCCCATCTATTCCTAAGAATCCCGATTGCTTCCATTGTCAAGAGATTGGTTGTTATGCTGCTGATGAGAATTTGAAACCATTGGTTGAACGGGAAGAAGAGAAATCAAATTCATCGGGACTTAAGGAAGCACTAGATAATGTGAAGGCTCAAACCCATGAAGAACATGAACTCATGAACATGGATAGGCCATTGAGCAGTTGGGCTAATCAAAATGAGCTTGGAATCAAACCCCTCGTGAAATCGCGTTCCATTGAGTGGCTCAACCATGGAAGAGAACTACGAGTGGAATTACGTAGATATTCTTTATTTCATATTGACATACCATGGACACCTGAATTTGTGGATTCATTAAGAAAAGAGGCTTCGGCATGTTTACTCCTACCCATGTCCACACCTCACCAAGGGATAGAACCATGGGCTCATCTCAGTTTCGGTGAAAACAAAGCCAATGATGAATTAGAGAAGAAGGATGTTGCTGCCACCAGAGATGAGTTCTTAGGCTATGGCTTAACTAGCTTAAATGTACGAGTTGATGAGAAGAAATTTCAATGTGGAGATATGAGCCGAGATATGGAAACGTCACCTCAAACGCTATCTTCACTAATGGTACCTCGTGCCAAGTTTGTTAAGTTTTTGCAGGTTCCATGTGAAGAAGAAACTTCCGAGTTTTATCATAAGACTCGTAAAAAGCTTATGAAGAGAGAGTTAAAAGGTTCCATCCACTATCAGCCCGGAGACCTAGTGTGGGTCCATGTACAAAGAGAGCGTTTCTCTGCAAAACGCAAGGCAAAACTTCAACCTCGAGATGATGGTCCATTTGAAGTGGTATCCAAGATCACTAACAATGCCTACAAGGTCAACCTTCCAGGAGACTACGGAGTATCGGCCACATTCAATATCAAAGATATCAGCCCGTACTTCGAGCCTGAGGAACTGCCGAGTTTGAGGACAAACTCTTCTGAAGAAGGGGAGGATGATATACCCCCGACCACCAACAACAATCCTCGAGTCCTTAAACAAATCTGTGGAATAATGTCCAAGTGTTTTAATCCTTTTTGGAATGAATTTACCCCTCCTAAACCCAAACCCTTAGCCATAATTTCATTGGATTTTTCCTCACCCTAAAATAAACCCAAACAACCCATTTTACTGCCCAGGCCGTACCCCCTTACCCCCACCCTTTCTCATCAAAAACACACCCCATTAAACTCACCAAAATGACCCACAAATATTTCATCCTTTTCCCTTCAATCCTGGC